CAGTTTCCTGAGCAAGATGCTGTGGGAAATTTACTTAAATAAGTTTTATTTTTGTTGATGAGAACAAAGTAGGTGCTTTCCACTGCAGCTGTCCAACAGAGAAGCTCCATGATTTCAACACTCGCAAGGTCATGGACCAGGTCCACAGGCAGCTCCAGTTCAGAGCACTCAAGTATCCTCATGGCAGAAGCCTAAAAATCACCGAGGAGCATCAAGGCTCATCTTCTTGCTACCAGTGGTAAATCAGCACTACCTAACTATCTCCATTTCACATTTATATTTGGAAAAGCTCCTTCCATACATGCTAAAGAAGTTAAAATAGCTACACAGAATATTCTCAAAAACCTTACCTAAGCAAAGAGAAGACATCATAAGAGTTACGAACGCAGTTCTGATCCACCTGGAGAAGACTGTTCTTCAGGGTACCTGAGTGATCCTTAAGGCAAAGAAAGAACGTTAATTTAAGAATCAAAAATTATTCCATCTTGACTAGGAGCATGCACTTTTGGTAGGAGAACAAATGATCTTGCATTTAATGTATTTTAAATCCGTCTTCATACAGTTATATGTACAGTAAGTAGAAACTATGGAAGCAACAACACTAAATTCAAGTCTGGCCTACAATAGGACCTACCTGTAAAGATGTTAATGACCTATCACTTTAACTGAGTTCTAGACATGCAGTGTGTTTTCTTGAACTTTATAATCCATTACTGCATAAATTTTATGCACAGAAATACTCAAGGATACAATTTACAGTACTGCCAGTCTTCAGCTTCAGATCTGGGAGCCTATTCAGTAATGTGCCAGAGATGTGCAAGACCATGAGATAAAGCTCTATTCTTTAACCATGCTGTAACACAGTTAAAAGATCAAAGCAATCTCAGTTTTGAGTGATGTGAACAAGCTTCAGGAAGTTACAAAAACAACCCATGTCACTCTTAAGAGATCTGAGTGTCCATTCTGCACAGGAGGCATCAAAACTTTAACAGACAAACAGTACTTCATGCTGCAAAGGTCAAATACCGAGCTTTTCCATGTCAGGCATAGTCACACAAATTCCTAGAAACACTACAAATCCAGAACTCTTTCTCCACATGATAAAGCAAAAAGTAGGTCAAAACACCTGGCAGCATTGTCAGAAACTTTACAGATTGTAGGAAAAAAGGCATTTATTTTAGTGTATGAAGAAGCCCCAGCTGGTACACACAACCAGCTAATTTTCTAATAGCCACACAGATGTACTTGAAGTGACACAGTCCCTGCCTACATATTCGTTCCTGCCTCAACAGGCTATTTCCATAGAGAAGATGCCGAAACGTAGAGTTACGTGTCAACATCTACCAACACAACTGTTAGCCGCAGGCCATGCAGCAGACATCCACCAGAGAAAAGGTTCTACCTAAATAACTATGAAGTCTATACAATATGTTATGCATCATATTGCAATAGAGGCATCATAGCAGCAGCTGCCTTAGCTCCTCATTTCCATCCTCAAGATGTTAGATCCTACATGCTGAAATCCATACACACCTCCTCCGAAAATATACCAAAGTAAAGACATCTTGATGCCTCAGTGAACTACCAGCATCACTGTTTTACTCCATGAAGTTGATTTTGTTTCAAGAAACACTACCTTCAAAAAGTAAACTGCAAAATTTGTTCGGAGAACAAGTGGAGTAGCCTAGAATAATTAGTTTCAGGAGGAAAAGTACTTGGAACAGCAACGTATTTTAGTCTTTTCTTTTTCCCCTGTATTGCAGTGTATTGAAAGGAAATTCTCAAAGAGTCAGACACCAAGTGGTCTGTACAACCTGTTCTACCCCGACAAAACTTACAGAACGTGCAACAGAAGTGTTTCAGACTTAGTTATTAAAGAAGTTTCCCCTTTGAAAGGAGAGTTTGTCTACTTCTCTGCCACAGCATTTATTAAATACAGGCACCTGTATTCATAAACACACAAAAAGTCTTTGTGTGTGTGAAGTGGCCATGATCTAGCTTCTAAGGAGGAAAAAAAAGAGCTGCATATGCAGGAAAAGACTCTACTTGCATTGATGGAGAGCACACACTGTAGAGAGAGATGCAGCTTTCCAAAGATAAGGGTCTTTTCTGATTGATGATTGAAGAAGTAGCTGCAATCCAGTATGCCTGAAGAATATAACAATCTTCTCTTTTCCCATACCCCTGACAACAGCCAAAAGTTTTGAGTTATGGAGCACTGTATGGACTAGTTCTATTCTTTTTCTTTAAGGAGACAACAGAAAGTCAGTCATTAACTAAAAGCTATACTGGCTTCCCTAAACGCACTTTCTAAAAAGGTATCACTGCAAGACCAAGGGCAAGACTCATTAGTTAGTAGCAGCAAGCACAAAATGGTTGAAAAAAAACTTGAAAGCCAGAAAGGCATTGAGGAAACCAGAGAAGGAGAAACTTGGTTTTAGGAAAGCCAGGACAGCACTCAGAACTAATTCTGTTGAGCCTGACTAAAAAGCAATTTTACACACGACCACGCAGCCTTGAACAAAACCAAACAGATTCAGAAAATTGCTAAAGGAATGGGAACACTAAGTCCAGGTTGACAGCTTAAAAATAGAAATCTCTGAAGCTCACATCTATCTTATTCAAACATTGGTCCAGTTCAAGCAAATCCAAATAGAGTTTCAGTGTATGATTACTAGAGAGGATGAAACTAAGAGAAGAACAAGTACTTCAGTGGTTCCACACCAGAAAGAAAACAGGCAAATAAACTGGACACGGTTGTGATGAAAGCAGCAGAATCCTGTTGAAATCTTCTAGCAAAATTACTGCATAATTTACTACAAAATAATAAATAAAAAGCCTTGAAAAAAAAAATGTGGGAGGCACAATGATGTGAAAGTTAAATGTAGCTGAGAACAAGGTGGCTACATTGGCAGCAGACGCTTGTATTTACACTGAGTAGAAAAGCTGTAAATGCTAGAAGAAGAGTTACAAGAGCAGTCAAACACCTACAGTAAAGCAGCAATACCCTTCAGGGCTCAGAGGGCACACACATAGGCTTTTGAAACCTTCTTTCCCAAGATTTTTCTCACCACGATCTAAGTATCCACTGCAGCAAGAAAACTGCTACTTGAATAAGAATACTACCAAAAGAAAACAATTTTTTCATTGCATATCAGCAACAGCCAATTTGTTGCCGGACAGAGGAGATGGAAGAAAGGTAAAATCCTTAATACCTATATATTGTCAAGAATACAGACTTTAAAGGCTTTTTGACATCAGTAGGAAAAAAGTGAAGAGTCAGTGTTGATAGTAACAACACTAAATAGGCCCTGGATATGCTGCTTTTGTTCTGTTCAGACAATAACTGCTATACTACAATTGTCTGTTACCTAGAATTTTCTCTACCAGTATTGCTGCTAGTTTTCTACTTTGCCCATTTATATGACAGAGCTTAGAATTTAGCTACAGAGCATGTACAAGAACCACAATCAAGACATGCTTTCAAGCCTTATGAGCTAAGGAACAAGTCCTGACAACAATCAGGAAAGAGGACAGTGTTACCTTCACTGAATTCAGGCCCAGATTATTTAATACTGAGATCACAAAAAACTGGAACTGCATTCTGCTTCAGGAAAACTGAGTTAACAGCACCAGGAAGCAGAGTTTGAGCTGTGTACCAAGCCATTTACAGTTTGAAGGATAACCATCAAAATACCAAGACTTACGTATGTGGCCAGAGAGTTTTGCACACATGGCCCTCCATGGCTCCCCTTCCATATAAATCCCCACAACACTGGACTTATGTTTGTGGCTAATGTAGAAACTGTAGCTGTGTGTTAAGGAATCATTTTTCCTCCAGGGGCTCCTTATCAACATATCTACTGCCACTAGCAATTTGAGATTAAAAAAACCCAGTCAGATGTACTATTTACAATAGGCAAGTTTAAACTTTGTCATCATCAATGCAGTCATCAGCAAAGCCATAATTAATTTGGTTTCAGTCACAATATTGGCTGGACAAGCACAAATACAGCAGTGAAGCTTTTGGAAAAAAAATCATGGGGGGAAGCAGTTGCAACACAGAGTAAATAAACAGCTTCCTATTTAAGAATTACAAGATCTGGTTTTAAGACTGATAACCAAAACTTAATGTCCTTTTATGTTTGCCATGAAAGTAAGTCTTAACAGCCACACCATATCGAAACTGTTCTACATTTAAGTGAAATGCCTGCCTCAAAGAATAAAGTCAAGGCCTATTTCCAGTAACCAGGGTTTTGGTTTGGTTTTTTTTTGGACTTCAAATGCTATGCTTGAAGTCTTCCCAGAACAGCTCAGATGTCCAGGCAAGAGAGGCGAGATAACAGTTCTCTGCTGTCATGTCAAAAAAGTATTTATTCTCAAAACTAAGCACTTCCATGTTCTGAGCAACCAAGCGTGAAAATTTAAGTTTAGAATCCAAATTTCAGCTTGTCACCAGTACTAACAAGCCAGGACAAATACGAAATACCTTACCTTCTGTTCAAATGAAGCTCCGTAATAACCATCATTGAGACCAAAAATAATCTCATTTGGGTTTCTTGCGTGTATCTGTAAGAGAAGAAGAAAACAAATCATTTTATAGTGAGCTTACTACGACTGTACACTGCAAACAGGCATAAATTGCTTGGTTTCATAGCCAAATGTAGTTTTTCAGCACCTGTAATTCTAGATATACAATAAACCTAAGAGAAAAACTAAGTTTAACCATAGAAAATGCATTTATTTCACAGCTTTAGTAAAAGTCACTGAGTATGTTCAGCCATTCCACCTTGAAATCAGAAACACTGGCCAGAGCTTCTTTCCTACTGTTGCATTTCCAGCTCACAAAAATAACTAAGAGACCAGGGAAAGTAATCGAAAAGTCTCAAGAGTAATGAGCTTTCACATGATACTACCTAAAAAGATACTCAACATTAGGCTATTGTGGTCACAGTAGACACAAAATTAGTGTTTAGTATTATAGCTAATATCCTGCTATTAATGTAAAGAACACTATTTCAAATAAATGCTTTAGTGTATGGGGCTTTTTTTAGGGTGCCATTTTTTCTGTCAAGTAATAATTAATGGAAAGAAAGGTATACTCTGAAGGGCACTGGGTTTGGCTGTGATGGAGTTAATTTTCTTCATAGCAGTCCATATGGTGCTGTGTTTTAGATCTGTGAATAAAACAGTGTTCCAAATACACCAGTGTTTTAGCTAATGCTGAACAGCGCTTGCACAGTATCAAGGTCTCCTCTGTTTCTCACTCTGCCCCCACAGCAAGTAAGGCTGGGGGTGGGCGAAAGCCCTTTTTTTTTTTTTCCCTCTTTCAGTTATTAAACTGGCTTTTTCTCAACCCATAAATTTTTCCTCACTTTTGCTCCTCTGACTCTCTCCCAGGTCACCAGTGCAGGGAATGCTGGCCAGGATCAATGCATCACATGAAGCTAGAGCAGTCATCCTCTATAAAACTTTCTTCCTAGGTTTTGAAACATCTCAATTAAAAAAAAAAAAATCATTTAGTTTTAAAGTGAGAAAAACTGTGATCTATTCTAAATAGATCCTATCAATTAATCAATCAGAAAGTACCCATTGGAATTAGGAAAACATATTTGATTCAAAAGGCACCATATTTTTGGTATTTTTATTATTTACATAATGTGAGTTGCTTTTTGAGACACTTTTACTGTAAGCTCCACAGTACAGAAACACCTCACTTTTCACCTGTTCAAAAGGCTACTAGTAAGAGATCATGATCAGAATTAAAACAGAACTTGTACAGTTATCTCCTTGGACTGAAGATCTTTGGCTGGATATCATTACTACGAGAATGGACAAAAACCACAATATACACAGACATTATAATCTATGCTTATTTAACTATATGTACAATCACATTGCTCTTTCTTTGAATTGAGTCATTGCAATTTAAAGTGTCGAGTGCTAGCAGTATCATTTATGAGGCTCGGTGAACAACAGTAGCTTAAAATATTTAGCTAGTGATTATTTAAAGCTCTGAAGTAAGCTAACATGAATCTCCACAACCAGACTTTAAAATACACAGAATTATAAGAAAGGAAATTAATGCATTTGTTCATCCAGCTCTTTTGTTTCCTTACGTAAGATCTGAGGAAAAAACCCAAACATTTTCGCATTACCTGCTGGCCCAAGTACTTTAACCCATCTAGATTGACCTTCCATTCAATCAGCAGCTGAAAGTGCTCTTTCTTGCCACCCCAGATCCTCACAACAAAACAGGAGACAGAGGTATCAAGACGATCAGGCATTATTCCAAAGTCCAGACTCCTCCATGTTGGATTCTGTAGGTATTCAAAGAAGAATAAAAACAATTCAAACAAGCTGAAAGTAGTCCTAAAATTGATAATTCAGAAAGAAGCAAAGTCTATGTCAAAGATTAAAAAAAAACCAAACCTTCAGAATAATGAACTCCAGCTACTTCAAGGTTTACAGAGTTTAAACCAACAGGCTCTGCTGCTTCCTTATTCTGTTTTCTAGAGAGAACTCCTAGCTTAAAAGCTCCATGCTGCAAAGTACTTCAGAAACTCAAGAGTAGGCTCTGCTTCCTTCCATTACAAGATGCTAAAGAATTTACTTCAGAATTTTCTACTTCAGTTTAGCTAAATCAGGAACTTTAAAAGTTGAAGCAACATTCTTTTCCAAGCTATAATTCAGGTTGTGAAAAGTAGGGTATAGCTTACATTGCAAAAGTGAAATTTAAAACGCTGATCTATTCCCCAGTAATTAAGTTTGCATAATTTACTGACACGTTTGTTCACATTCTTCTCCTCCTTTACTGATGTTGATGCAACCAACCCTCAAAACACTGTCACTATAAGAGCTCCTCTTCACTCCAAGAGATCAGACGTGCATTTCAAGCTTTACAGAAGGAGCACACATTAAGCTAAACCACAGATATCTATTCCACTAGAACCCAGATTTGCAAACATGAGGCATTCCAAGAACTCAGACTCACCTCTGATAACATTTCAATTAAAGATTTATGGAAAGCGTTGTAATTGGCCCAAGCTGCAACCAAACCAAGTTAATCCAACACTACCAGTGCCAAGAGCCAGATACCAACTTCAGGATTTCCATAGGCCATGAATCACAGGGTGTCCAAATGCAGAAATGGGAAAGTGCTTTATATAAATAACCTCTCTTCTTGCCTGCAAACGGAACTGGTAGCTCCTCCAAAACAAAGGTAGGAACCCACCAACCCATGAGAAAACAAGCCTTTCATTCTAGTGCTTAAGCAGCTTGGAACAGGCCAAGTATCTCTGAACTGGTAGTATGTAATTTAGAATAAGACCTCCAAAAAGAAGAGAGGGGCAAAGTAATTCAGTAAGTATTACAGAAGAAATGCATTCATTTTCTCAAGGAAAAGGCATATTTGGTAGCTCTTCAGATACAAAAATGTCAGGCCATTAAAATAACCATAGATGGTGCGTGGAATTTGCTCAAGACATCTTTTATTTAGATTTCTGTCATTCCATATTTCCTTTGGTTAGAGTCCTTTTCTATTATTCAATGTCTTGATTCAGAATAGGCAGAACTCAACATCCTGAAGTCTCAAGGAACTTGTCTCTTGGACAAGTTAACAGCCTTGAGGATGCAGACAGCTTTTCCTCCATTCATGAGGTTTTTCAAAGCATTTACAGCCCAGCATGCTATAAATGGTACAGTTCTACCTTGTTGATGCAGACATTAAAAAGTCCGTTTAGCAGGTTTTCAAACTCCCATAATCAACACTTGCAACATCCAACACACACAAAGAGACCCCCATCTCAGTTGTAATGAACTGTTTAGCTCTGGTCCCTTCACGGACCTGAACTGGAAAATTTATAAAGTTCAAAATGCTTTTAAAATTCAGTTTCTTAAAGCTATTAGCTCTTAAAAAAAATATACATGTTTATATATGCAGGTACGTGTTCCTTACTATTCACCTATACAACAAAGAGATGCTCAAAGAAATCGCTGGTATATTCTGCAACACTGTTTGATTCTCCCTTTACTTGGGGTGTTGCAAGCACAGCCTCTGCTTCTACACCAAGGCTGCTAAACTGCACAGCATGAGCTTGAGCTTCTAATGAATCTGTACACCCAGCAAAGTAATATACAAGTCCTCCTTGAATAAGCAATTAGCAGATATTTAAATAAATGCAGCTATTTCTAACCAGTGCTAACACCAGTGAGAACAGGAAGAAAAAAAAGGAACTGTAAACAGCCCTGAGTTATGATGCACACAATTCTCAGATGCTGAAGGAAGTTAGCTGGGTTTTTGCTGGTTTAACATTACCATGCCTGTTCTGTGATACCAACATTTAAAATGGACATAAATTGTAACGCCTAACCTGACCCCTGAGCAGTTTTCACATGAAAAATCCTTGACCCTTGGAATGTTTGGTCCTATCAGCAGGAGTACAAACAGACCACAACTCCACAGCTGTTAACATGAACTTACTTTTCTACTACTCAATAACTTGCTACTCCAACCCTTGTTAAAAGAACCTGAAAAGGAGGAGAAGAACATGATGCTCCTAGCAAAACTGGAGAGTGGAAACACACATTTGGTATTGGTTACGGTATTCACCACAGAAATCAATATACTTCATTAAATACAAAATTTGTAAAAGAAAGATTTTCCATATTAAAATAACTTACCAGAGAATTCTTGATCACCTCACTCTTATAAAATTCTAAGGAAAAATGAGTAGAGAAACACCTTTAGATTAGTTTAAATACTGATACAAATCCTAGTATTTGAAATATAAAAAAATAAAATAACACTCATGAAAGACAAATGGGGACTAGTGGGTCTAGTTTATCAGTAACAGATTCGTGAGAAAGCCACTAAAATGCAGTCGTGGTTTTGACTAAAAGTACTCATTTACACTCAATTATTAAAAGTCATTTAAATTTAGCATTTCATCTTTATCCCCAACATAATCCTCAAGATTCACAGAGGCTTTGGTTTCTGGGGAAAGAACATGCCCCAGTACTTTACAATACTTGGATGACATTTGCAAAGTGACCAGTTTGTCACATGACATCTTGCTGGAGGAGTGCAGCACGGAGAAACTAATTGCACTGCTTTCCTGAAGACCAAGGGTGACCTGTTCCAGATGCTTAGAAAGTGAACAGCCAAATTACCTCCTGGAGATGCCAAGAACCCAGTATTTAAATGGAAATAAGCAACTGCTGACACACGGACCTTGCCTTACCCAGCCAAAATAGGAGCTTAAAGTCTTATTTATTGAGGCTGGAATACAGATTTTTTTACAGTATCCCTCAGTCCACTGGAGTCCAAGGATAAAGCTTTGATGGAGTGCAGAACAATCCTGTACACCAAACACTGCAGAAATAGTCTCCAGCTACAGGTTCAACCAACCACTACAAGAAAGTCCACGTTTGCTTACAAAAAGCAAGGTTCAACTACACTAGCTGAATATCAAAATTAGGAGATAAAAAATTTCATCTCCAAAGCTTCAGCTGTCAATCATCTCAAAAGGAACATAAAAATATATTTTTAATAACATCTCTCCATAATGAAGAATTACAAATTGTAGTGGACAGCAAAGCTTTATAGAGAAATAAGATCTAACACCCAAACACAGTTATCAAAAGCAGAACAGATGCCTGGATCCTTCTTGCCATAGGCTGACAATCCTATTTTTAGAAAACTTTGATAGTAGTAAGTACTGGTTTATGCTTTGTAAAATAACTGGAATGCACAAAGTGGAATACTCTTTCCTACACAAAGCAACTCCAAAAGTTTTTCTGTGCTCTTGGAAGGTCTCAAGTTTCTTAAGTTTTTGGTGGGGGAAAGAGAAGAGAGAAACTACTGATCTGTCATCTATTTTGCTTCCTTGTCTGCTAACACTAAGTTTTTATGAAGTTCAGGAAACGAAAGAGCAATTTTCCCCTGTTATTATACATGATGTAAATAATGGCAGCAGGCTGTCATGGCAAAAAAGGACAGAGAATTTGTAACATAAGAATTCAAAGAGTAACTAGTAAAAAAAAGTTGAGAGCAAGCCTGGTTTACCTTTGTATATCTTGGCATTATCACACAAGTGAAGCGTGAAGTACGTATCCAAGAGGCGATAGCCATTCTTATTGATAATGTTACGTGCAGCAATATTCCGAAGATGGCGAAGCCGGCGCTAAAAAGAAGAAGAAACCTAAATAGTTAAAGAACTTCTTAGATTGAAATTGAACCCTTCTTGTTATTTTTTTTTATAATAGCATTTTTGTGATTTCCAAAGCACCATTGTCCAAAAAATCCCACCAAACACTCCATTTTCTTTGGCAGAAAGCTAGTGTGAACAATAAGCCTTCAGCAAAGCCAGAAGAAACTGGCTTGACAAGTAACAACTAGCACCTACAAACTCAGATATACAACACTGATATACACGACAAGCTATTTTTATTAATGTCCTATACGTAATTTTTATTCCACACATCTAAATCACCCCAGCTATTCGAGCAGTTTCAAGCAACTCTGTGACACTACTAGCATCAAACAGCAGGTGAATCACCCAGGTGTTCTGCATCATCTCACTGGAGACACTTTCTAGCCAAAGCTATTTTCAACAAGCAGGAGTGGACAAAGCTCCAAAATAAACCACCACCTACACCAGTAACTGGCTGAAATGAAGCTTCCTGAACTCACAGCAATCTTGGAAAGTGCTGTAACAACCTTAAATAAAAGTAAAATATATCAGAAAGGCATATCCAGATTTTCAGGGAAGATTAAGGGCACCATAAATCTGTGAAGTCTGTCAGCTACCTTCTGTTTGGATAACAGAGTCCTTTTCTGCTGGACTGAATACACAGGAATACATCACTAAAATCTTAAGTGATTCCATCCAACTCCAACACCATATTAGTTTGCTACAATACTCCATCTCTACTGAAAATCAGAGTGAATAAATCCCACCCCCCCAAGTGCCAAATAGCTTTAATAGTTGTGGCTGAAATCCTCAGCTTCACAGCATACTGTGCCCTTCATATCTGGCAAATACTTAACACTACTGGCTTATTGTTCAATTTCAGTAGTAACAAGGCAATTTTGTTGGACTGTCCAGTCATTCTTAAACCACTGCTTTGCTGTGGTTCTTACTTTAACTTTGAAAACTCATGCATGCTTAAAACACACTAACGTGAACTTAACACTCAGCAAACTGACACTTCAAATATATGAAGTTCTTCCCAAATCCTCCAGTATCGTATTTTCCCAATCAATCTCTTAACCTACCAATGTCTCACCCATCTACCATGGGGGCCTTGACAAATGACTCCCTATCGTTTTTGAATCACCACAAACCACCTACAAGCCTCAAACAACTGGCTTAGCACATCCTTTTATCACAGATTTCATTTTACTGCATACTACTTTTTCCCAAAAACTTGCTAATTTGTTAAGTCTAGATCCACCTTAAAAGAAACACCCTCACATTGACCAAAAGTGGATTTAAAAAGCTTTAGCAAGCAAAAGAAAACTTTTGGTTGTAGCTTGTCCTAAAATGCTTCTAACGAGAGCTGAAAGGCCATCATCTGTGCTGAAATCACCACATGACACTTTATATCACTTAATATCACTTAAGCAAAACATTCATTTTCCTTCCTGGAAATATATAAGAGGAATATTAAATTTCTGTTCACATGACAGACTCAAAACCATCAGTGAATTCATTCCTGCAAAGCCTATTTATGTGTCAGACTAATAACAGAGCCTGAGATGGGACACCCAGATACCTCTAGTATACACACACAATACAAAATGAGAAAAAAATAATAATAAGACAAAATTTTCTAAACTGCTTAATGGCAGTTTTACTGGCCATTTTTATGAACAACTTAAACACTTCTTAAGAAATGGCTTTGAACATACATTACACTCTCCTATAAAAACGATTCAAAGGTTTTATGTGCCATATCTCTCCTTTAATTAAAACAATCATCTACCACGCTCATGCCACCCTTCGTTTAACTTTTTTTTAAAATCCCTTACAACCCAAGAATAGCTCACATAGCATCTAACAAAGAGGGCAACTTTCTCCTGGTCTTTTTACCATTGCAAACTAATTGTGCGACAGGTTTAAGTAGTATGTTACAATGAAGCAGCCCTCAAGTAAAGCCAAAGAAGTTTTTTGTCCTTCACTAATTGCAATGAGGTTTGGAAAAAGCTGTAGAGCATCATAACCTACACCTGCATGTTTGGACAAGAGCAGACTCCCTATCTCCATGGTTTGTGACTTCTTTGCACCTTTCAAAGTCTAAAGTCTCACTTCTCCCGAACTAGTTGCAAAAGTAGTATTAAAGTTGAGGCTGTGAGACCACAACACAGTTCAGGACTCAAGACGCAACAGGTAACAAATATCTGTTTAAATCTCCAACTTAGTCATCGCTCTCCTCCTCCTTTCTGTTCCTTTACTTGTCCATTTAGCCCAGCTGACAGGGAACAAGTTTCCAACTACGTGGACAATTTGCTTCTTCATCTGAGGTCATGATGACAGAGACTTAGATCCTGAAAATAAACCTTCCAGTTTGTCCACTACATTGTCACTGATATTATATTGCATTATTCAGATTTCCTCAGAACCCTGCAGAGACAGCATTCAGTTAATTAACCTCTTCTGACCAAAGATAATTAGCATTAGCCATGAGACCATCAGCTATGAAGACATAACCAAAATACAAATCAAACTGACTCTACAATTATTAAAGGGCTTGCAGCCATTCTGTGACAAACAAGAAGTATTCTTTTGAGTGGATTTTCAAATTTCTATTAAGCGTTACCTCCTATGTGTTTTGTGTCATTTTTTGCTTGAGATGTTACAGTAAGCAAAACAAAAACCCCACTGTCTTGTAGTCCGGCTGTCACCAGCATCAGCCAAATCGCCCTCCTCATTTTGTGCCACCACAAATAAGCACCACACAGCTGGGGAACCGATCTGGATGAACACCAACCACCTCTCTTCTGCTGGGTTAGTTTCACCAGACCAGTTCCTCAATACAGTTCACCATGGGGCTGCCCAAGCAGCTGCACTGATGAAAAAGTGAATTTCAAACTGCAAAAGCAACTCTTTATAGCGAGGTAACCCATTAGACTGTACACGGAATACTGTAGCTGCAAGTAATCCTGGGGTATTTTTCATTTCCTCTTTCTTAGATGAAGTGAGAAAAAAGCAGTCAAGCAGAGATTAGTTTTAGCTATCCTCATCACCAAGAGGGATCTCCATAGGTGAGATGCCACGCTACCAGAACTGCCATTCCAAAAAGCCCAGTTTAAAAAGCAAAATACAAGTGCTAAAAACCACACTAACTGCTTTGGCAGCCTCATGAGTCACATAACTGAAAACAGGCCAGCTGTGTTTGCAGGGTGATAGTGCAGGATTTGCTTTCACAAAAAAAATATAAGCAAAATATGCAGATGAGTATGGATTATTCTCTCCTATCTCCTCAAACAGTTGAAAGTATCAGCAACACAGCACTGAAGATCTCAGACACAACACCAGGCATTTAATAAGTTATCCTACTACAAAAAAAAGTTATTTTTCAGTAGAGCACTGCTTTAGGCAGGCTCTGACAAGCAGAACTGATACCATTAAAAAGAGCATTTAACTTTTCCAACAGCACCAAATTTAGTGCACCCAGCCTGAATGATGGCATATCTGGATCATTGCTTGGCAGAGTAGCAGAGCAGGTTTAACAGCTCAATCTGGGGGGTTTGTGAAACACAAGTTATTTTGATTACCACAACTGCTCTAGTGCTTTGCACTTCCCAAGAAAGTTGGTGAAGCAGGGAAATTACATGGTAGGCCTTGTTATCATTTGATTTAATTGCCAGTCTAAGCTGTAATTGAGTAAAAGCAACTGCTACACAGCAACGCTGCACTGACCTACATGAAAGAAAGTAGTGCTTTCTTCTACCTTGAAAATAAATGACTACAAACTAGAAGACATCCACTAATTTCCCCTTAGAAGAAATCCTGAGTAGCAGCTTGCATTTTAAACACTGCTGGAGGTAAAGATATCACAGGTTATAAGCATACAGCTATCCTAAAGATCCAGAGAAAGGCTGATCATGAAAGTTTTAGATGAGATCAGAGCTTCCCATCAGGTTTCACCTCCCATGCCTGCAGAGCCACAGAACTGGTGACCCGGATTCATCAGCAGCATCTTGACAGAGCTGCTACAGAGCACAGCAACACCATCCATGCTCAGCAGTGACCAACTTCTCTCAAAATTTAGGCGTCATTTTTCTTATCTAAGAGAAGCACTCAGCTTTCATCATTCTGAAGAACTATTATCAGTTGTTTAATATATCCAGTGTTTCCATTCAATGACTTTCTGGGAATCTCTCCAGATTTACCGCGGGCCATAAACAAGTCAGGCTGCTACAAAATAAAGTATTTTGGTCAACATCCTTGTTAATACTTAGCTTTTTAATTAGATGATCCCAGAACTCTACAGTCTACCAAGTCCTCTGAAGTTTAAAGGACTGAAACTGCCTGGCTCTGCCATGCTTTGGTTCCCTCAACACTAAGATGCCATAACTTTTCACTACCTCTGCCTAAAATATCACCTTTTTCATTTAAACACTTGTTCCCATCTCATACAATGTTATCTTGTGTATTTGTGCAGTCTCATGGGGAGGGTCAGAGAATTTAACCAAGGTAAAGCTGGCAAAAGAGAAGTTAGTTTAAAATTTGGGCAAGTTCCTCCAATTCAGCTACACAGATGTGCCCACCACAAAAAGCATGACAGAGAAGGCAGACTTCAACACCGCAGCTTCTTGATGGCTTAGACTGATCCAGACACCACTCTCTGCTTCCCTCTAGGCCTGAGAAACTGAAGTCATAAACCTATTCACTGCTTTTTTCCTCACAATCTGGCACCACTAAAAAAAAAAATAATAATAATTAAAAAAAAAAATCACCGCAAAGGTGGTAAGTCAAAATAAGAGAGGGAAGTGCACTGCTGTTAATATAAGGTCTGGACTGTTCAAAGAACCAGAACGAGAACTGCAACTATCTACAACAGCCTGAAGTATTTGTGGAATTTTGTAGTTATTTGTTCAAGGTCACATAATGAGTAGCAAAAACAAGCACAGAGTTCCGATTCCTCTTTCATCTTAAGGACTTCATTATTCTCTTCA